CGGCGGCGCTCCTGCTGAGGGTTCGGATCCCATGTGGAGACCGGTTCCTGCTCACTGGCTGAGCGCGGTGCGGGCGCAACACCGAAGGTTGCGATCCTGTTGCCGGTCAGTACAAAAGACAAAAAGGAAAAAAAAAAAAAAGAAAGAAAAGAAAAGGCCATCCCAAGTTCTATGCACCTAAAAAAATATGGTAAACCCAGAACATAACAGGCATTCACATGCCGGAGGAATTAGCATTTAAAAATCAGGTTCTCTCATAACTACATGAGAGGCCACGTCAGCCTCAGCCCCAGCAAAGGGACATCCATGCTGGCTAGCATTTTCTATAAAACCTCATTAAGACGCATCAGGCACTGCAGAGACCCAAGCATTTACAGAGGAACAATGATGACCTCTGTGCCTTTTTTTTGTAACACCTGTGGATTCTCTGTGGCAACGTATTTCCTAAAGCACTGCCTCGGTCAGCATGTCTTGGCATCTCTGCACAGGTGACAATCTGCTTGTGCTTTGGTTTGCCTGCAGCCTCTATGCACTCGGGCCCTTAGGCCTCTGGCTAAGGGTGTGGAAGCAGGCTGTCCAGGACCTAGAGAGGGTCCTCTGGGTGCTCAGAGAAACAGGTCCAGAAAGCCCAGGTGGTCACCTTACTCAGGGCCTCCTGCCGCCTGCCTGGTGACCAGAACTCCTGAAGGCTACAGCAGCACAGCATCGGCAGAGTTAAAACCTTAAAACTGGGAGGACTGGTTCCATGGTTCAGCTTGCTGGCCTGGAGCGTCTCCAGCCTCCATTTTCTTTCTTTCAGCTTCAAATGAGGCTCCATATGGAATTATGCAAGAAGACACAGGGGGTGGAGGGAGCCAGGGACCAGTTATGCCACAGCCTACCTGTACAGCCAGAGTATTGTCCCTGGTCAGCGGGGAGGAGCTCAGATGAGGAAAGGGCTGCCCCAGAAAGGAGCTGACCATTCGGATTGCTGTAGCACATTCAAGCCAAAGGGAGTCCTCTAAGAATGTTTAATCCAACGCTCATAACTTCATAGATGGAAACAGAGGCCCACAGAAGGAAAGCAGGTCCTGAGATCTTACAGTTAACTGGAGGCAGAGCTGGTTTCAGGCCCAGGGGTCCCTGACTCCCTGCCTGGTATTCTTACTCCCCAGGCTGCCTTTCCATTAGCAGCTGCATTGAAGGGTCCCCCATGCTGGAGCGGGTCACTTGAGGGCTTGAGAGAGGCCACCTGGCCTGACATAGTGGAGGGCTGGCCAGGTCCTTGTCACCCCTCTGTGCCTCCTGCCCTAACAGAGGCCTGTGCCCTCCGTCCCACCCTGCATCCTGCTCACCAGGGAGCCCCAGCCCAGCCCATGCTTGTTAACTCAGTGCTCCCCAAGGATAAGCTGTGCCCCCTGTGCCCAGGCCACTCCTGGGGACCAATCCACTCTCTGAGGAACAGACCCAACTAATTTGTAAATGCATTGACTCAAGTTCTACTTGTCCCAGGTGGCATCTTACATTTTAACTGGAAGGATATTGATGTTTTAAGCCAAAGAAGAGAGTAATAATGAGAGTGTCTAGAAATGAAAGAGAGATTCTGGAGCAGAGGGTAGGGGAGGCACGCAAGAGACCCTTTACTGATTTGGTGGTTTTTTCACTAGTACATACTTTTGACCTCAGGTAGGAATTTAAATGTCCAATGGCCACCATCAGAGGTCAGTTTCCAGAAGGAAGAAGCCTGTCTTCTGTCAATCTGTCACCAGGCCCAAACTGGACAAGAAGACCTTTGTATTCTATTAGTGTGGATCTTGCTAGAAAATGATATGTCTGGGATCTGGAAAGATGGGGAGAGACGGAGGTCTCAGGTCCTGGGAAGGGTGGAGCCAGCCCAGGGGCAAGAATGCAAGGCCAGGAGCAAGTAGGTGTGCAGGGCTGCTGTGGAGGACAGGATGGTCAGAGACAGGAAGAGCTGTCTCCAGCGTCCATCATCCCAGCAGGGGCTGTTGTACCAGCCACTGGTGAGGGTGTGGCAGTGGGGTGACCAGGACCTTCCCATGTCAGCATTCCTATGAATATCCCAGCAGGCCAGACACTCCTGCAGCTGTCAGGGGCTCTCTCAGGTGTGTGCCAGAGAGCTGGGGAAGGAAAGACCCTGAGAAGGGATGGTGAGAGCTACAAGGATCAGGTGGGCATAGCACAGAACAGCCAAGTGCGGTTAGACAGGTCGTGCCTTCTCACACCGACCCAGGCAGGGTACATGCGCAGTTCTGAGGGCACTAGGGCTAGCTGGTCAGTGTTCCCAGGAGGCCACACAATCCAGAGCCTATGATTTTTGTGTATATAGAGCTGAGGTGTTCTGACCAAAGGGTTGGAGATGGGGTTTGGGCAGCCAGCATCAGGCTGCCTCTGACTCTCCTTGCCTGGTCGGGCACAGGTTTTCTGCTCTCCTGCCCCCCCGCTGCCGCATTCACCTGTCCTTCCAGAAAGTCAGGCCTGGGGCTCCACGGCAAGGGTGCCACAGTCATGGCCCTGACCCCACCTCAGACCTGGGCTGGCTGCCCTGGAGGCTCAGAAGAGAGAA